AATTTTATATTTTATTAAAATGTAATTCTGCCAGCCCATTTCTACAAACAAATATTATATTTTTAATTGTGTTGGGATTGTCACCTGTGGACATTTTAAACTGTTTTACATATTCGTGCAGAGGCATAGCCTCTAAAGAAAGGTTGTCTCTGCAATGGAAATAGTTGTTCCTGGTGATTAGACATGGCAAGAAAAATTGGACTCGTATCCAGATGTTTTACTTTTTATTAAATTGTAATTCTGCCAGCCCTTTTCTACAAACAAATCTCTATTTCAATTTATGTAAGTTTCAAAATGATTACCTCTCGACACTTAATAACATGAGCCTGAAATCGACTACTTTTCACTCGATGAGCTGGATTGTAAGGACAAGGTTCTAAATTATCTTCATTTACTATGAATGTTGCCATCTGAAAACTTAAAAAATAAACTGATATAAAATACAGCTGTCAAATATAAAACAGGCACAAACCAAATCTATTTAAAATATAAATACAGCTATTCTAACAAGAAGAAACACTTCAGGCTTAATTCTTAAGATGTATATTTTAATGTTAAGTACTTAGAGAGAATAATCTATTATCAGAACCTTTCAAAATTAGTACTATATAATAATATTCAGAAAATACTTTAGATTTCCCAAAACTATAAGGTTTTACTTTATGAATCATATTAAATATTATATTCTACAATTTCTTTTCAAATTGTTCATTTTTTGAATGTTTGCTGTAATTCAAACTTTCACTATTCCAACCAATGAGATTTTTTTTTAACAACTACAGTTTCAGTCCATTTGATGTTTTATTCTTTTTATTTTTTAACATCCATACCCATAAACCTGGATTGATTTGAGAAGATAATTGAATCTTTAGAATCAGAACAAATATTAAATAGAATCCATCATTATAATTTTAATGAACAAGTTAAACAAGGAAAGTCCATATTAAAAAAAATTAAAATCTTTAAATAAGTTTAAAGTAGAAAAGGTAACTAAAGCTAAAAAATAATGATAAAAATACAATTTATAGTTCAAGTGATAGAATTGTTTCCTGAAATAACAAATATTTGTGAACGGGCATAAATATGAATATATATCAAAATAAAGAGTTAATTTATATGAGAAATGTCTAGTTTATGAAAAAATAAGATAACTACTTAAAAAACAAAGAATTCAGAATAATTAATTGTTAGTGAAAGATCTACTGAGACTAGCTAAAATTAATAATTGGATTAATTATGATTAAGAACTAGACAGAAGAAAAGGCAGTTATTGCTATGACAGATAAAAGAAAAAAATTCCAACCATAATCAAACAAAAGAATTATGAAATTAGTCTAGATTTCCCAAAACAGGCATGCAGACCAGTTCCTAATGATCTGGAAAACATTCAGGATACAGTAGAATCTCATTTTAATGGACCACTCAGGTTGTTGAAAATCATTCACTGTTCTGAGAATCCATTATATTGCAAACAATATATTTTCCATAGACTCAGAAAAATATCTCTTATTTGAAAAGATTTGTTTTTTAAACCTCTACATATTAGAAATACCAGTACTTGAAATTATTCAGTCTCCTGTGATCTCTATTCTTTATTCTTTAGAAACATTTATATTACAAGATCATATGTATATTATACTGTATCTGTGTGTGATAAAGCTGATGGAAACTGTATATACGAGGGCGAGTTAAAAATTATCCGCAATGTAAATTTGTATTGCAATAAAAGTTCTATAACTTTTATTGCAATACAAATAGGAAACTGAACTTAACATCATTTTTCAATATAGTCCCCTTGCTTTTCAATGCACTTGGTCCATCATTGCACAAGCTTCCTGATGCCCTCAGAAAAGAAGATTTTTGGCTGAGCAGCGAGCCACGCATGCACTGCGTCTTTCACTTCTTGGTCTGAGGTGAATCAACGGCCCCTTAATGCCTCTTTGAGTGGACCAAACAAGTAGTAGTCCAAAGGGGCAAGATCAGGACTATATGGAGGATGAGCCATTACTTCAAACGTGAGTTTCCGGAGTGTTTCAGCAGTGTGGGCAGCAGTATGTGGACGAGCATTGTCATGCAACAACACAACACCTTACAACAGTAGTCCTCGGCACTTGCTTCAAATTGCAGGCTTTAGCTTGTCAGTAAGCATCTCACTGTAACATGCACTGTTTATTGTTGTGCCTCTCTCCTGATAATGCTCCAGTACTGGGCCTTTGGTGCAAACTTCTAATGGAGTGCCCATGATCTATCTGCAATAAAAGGAAGACAAATGGAGGAATTAGGATCAACATTCTATAGCAGGACCACAACAGCATAATAAAATAAACGAGGCCAGAGGTCAGTATGAACAATGTAAGAAGAGTTATGTCAACATTGTGGAGAATTTTTGACTCACCCTCATACTTATATACTGTAAGCACAAAAAAGAGGAAAATTACAAATGCTCATTAGCACTTCATTTGACTTCAGAATTTGTTTTCAAAAAAAACTCATCCATCTTGGTTTGTTTTGATGCCACTTCTCTGCCTATTGAATACAATAATTGCTTGATATTAGTAATGTTGTGTATAGCTTGTTTGTTTATGCCAAAACTCATCAGAAAGGTCTTTATGACTTAAGAAAGACTTGATGGCTTTGCTAAATTTCAGCACTACACTTGAACCAGCATCAGAATATTCACTAGATGGCTCCTCCTCAATTTTATCAGCCTGCTTACACCCTTTGTAAAATTCTTCAATTGTATATATCCCAGATGTAACAAGTGCATCATCAAACTCTACAACTCCTGGAAACACCCAAATATTAACTATACATTGAAAAAAAGCAAAGTTTACAATAGATGGGCTATAAAAAATCTGTTATTCTGAATTATGGATCCACTAAAAAGAGATAAAATTATATCAATTTAGCAGCACCCAGGAAAAAAATCTTATTCTGAAAAATCCATTGTTCTGTGATCCATTAAAACAAGATTCTACTTTATATATATTCAATAAGGAAAATTTGCTGGAAAACTTTCAACACATCAACATTTATATAAAGTAATAAAATTTTTGTTTTTCATTTTTTTTAATTACTTTCTTTACAATATTTAAACAACCTTTATAGAGTTTTTTTTTTTTTTTTTTTGCAAAATTTTCATTTAATTTCTTTTCTGCGCATGTGATACATATGCATATTATATAAATAGAATTTATATTTATACTTCAGAACCATTTTGATGATCTTAAATTTTTCATGTTTTTCTTTTTATTAAAAATTGTTCATAAAGTTGGTCTGCATTTTTCTTGATATTTTTACTCCCCCCTCTCCTCTTCAGACATCCAATGAAATTCAATCACCCTCAAAACCTTTATCATTTTATAAATAATAAAATGAAAAACTAAAATTTAATGAAATAAAACAGATGTCTATTGAAGTTCAACTACCCGTTATCCTACTTGCGATAACCCCCTCCCTCCCCCTTCCAGTGTGGACTTCATTTATGGATAATCCCTTACTGGTACTTATTTATTGAAATTAATTTTAATTAATTTCATCAATGTAACTGTTAAACTACAAACACATGTCTTATTTGCATGTGTTTTTTTAAATTAATGCAAGCTTTAATATTTGAATCAATAATCCTACTAGACATTAAAGCAATTCTATTTTTACATATTATAAATAAAGTTGAATTGGGTTGTAACAATCACAGTTATAAAAATGGTGTTCTCTTGAATATACATATTCTAACACACTTGATATTTTATGGACATTAAATATATATTTTTTTAGCATTTCACAATATTTTTTATCATGACAAATATTTTTACATATTATAAATACAGTTGAATTGGGTTGTAACAATCACAGTTATAAAAATGGTGTTCTCTTGAATATACATATTCTAACACACTTGATATTTTTCACATCTGATGATGATTTTATAAGAGAATGAAAACACTACTGAATAAACATTTAATTTGTTTTCCAGAACTAAGCATTTTTTCTTATCTTTTTGCACAATTGTAGCAAGTTCAATGGTTAGTACAAACAAATCTTCAATTTGTTTTCAATTAAGACATTTTTTTATTCACAAATATAAAAGCAAATTTTTGTCCTGTGTAGAATGAAAAAACTAGTATTGCCTGAATGAACTATCTATTATATTTTAAAAATTACTGCATATTAAGTGTTTTGTGACCTTTTTTTTTACATTTACCTTTCAGTTTTCAATCTTCTTTTAAGCTAAACATGTTGTCTAACAAAAGAAATACCTCTCAATTTATGAAAAAGTCAAAATTATGTGATACAGTAGAGCCTCGATTATCCAACCGTCCTAGTTGGCAAATTTCAAATGTCTGCTAGTGATGTGGCGCTACAATATTTGGCTATGTCTTGGCTACTTTAATATTATTTTTACATGTTTTAGCTGGCAACACTCATTCGACCATGAAAGGGAGCCAGTATTTAAACGAGGCTTAATTTTCTAATTTTTAACGATACAATAGTGACAATTATTATTTTAAAAAATTTTTGTTAGGCTTAACATCGATGAAAATTCAACGCAAAGTAGGTTAGTAGCGATATACTAATATACTAATTACATGGGATATAATAATATACTACTCTAATAATGGATTTTTTCATACTTTTCGGTTATCTGACTTTTCAATTATCCGACCAACCCCAGTCCCCAATTGGGTCGGATAATCGAGGCTCTACTGTAATTAATGTGTAAATTTAAAAATATGGAAATATGCAGAAAATTATGCTTGTAGTCTTCAATGGTAACAGCACATGAAGAATAAGAATATTTATTTAAATGTACTGGAGTATAACATTTTCTATACTAAAAAATTTAGAAAAATGTAGCCTATTGTTACAGGTAACAACAAAACATTAATACAATAATTTCAAACTCAAAAAAGTGTCAATTTCCAATTTAGGGGAAGATATTAAAAGCATAAGTAGGAAGGTTGGCAAAGGAGTTTAAGTGCCAAGACTATTTTTGCAACAATGGATCATTTCAAAAACACATACAATAACATATATGGCAAAATATTGTATTAAAAAGTCAAATGGAATTTTCGGAAAAGAAGGGAATGCTGTAATATTTCAAATGGCTACAAACAAGCTAGAAGTTTTTTTTTTATATTTTAAAATTCTATTGTATTGAGTCAAACAAATAAGTTTAATAATAACATAAGTTACATGTTTAACATAAATGGTTACTTGCAATATTTGTTGTAATGATACAAAATAAATCACTAAAAATGGATGTAGCAAGTAAGAGTTATAACAAACAAATGCATTTGGTCTCTTCATGCTTGTTAAGACAAGAGTTCAACTGTAATTTAAAAGTATTTTGAGAAGTAGTTGCAAACATTTCTACATTAAAAGAAATTATTTTTAGTAAGGAAGAAGCGCACAAAAACCATAATCAATAATCAATCGGAAAAATGGAGAGAGACACAAAGAACATAAAATAGCTTTATTCAGTGCTGGCTTGCACCTGACATAACACTGATTTTTACCACACATGCTTCCAAAATGACCACCAATAGAAAACACTTTTAGCACTGGCACTCTTACATGAACTATTTATAAACTTTAAAGTACAACTACTGACTTTGTTGTATTTGCTTATTATTTTTGTTTATTTTTTTCCTATTGAACATTTTTGACTGCTCACTTTACCCCTTAAGACAGTTGTCTTGTCATCTACCCACCAAGCAGACCTGAGCTTTATTAGATATTTTCGCATTTTGCCATAAAACACCTTTACAAATAAATAAATCTTTAATTAATTCAGCAGAGTGTAATCGGAGCTCCTGCATAAGTAAGTCAGAAAGCATTCTGTCTGCAATTGAAGTTTAAAGCAAGCATAGCCACTAGACATGACTTTTTGCAAATACGTACAACACAGCAGGGTCAACATTGTGACAACCAAAATTTTGAAATTTAATCTATGGGCCAAGATATTCCAGGCCAAAGTTCACCATCAACATCTACAGGTCAACTGCAATCAATGCTACACATCAATGAAGTTTCCAATTGCTGTCAAATTACAGCAATAGGAATTTTATTTTAGATCTAGATCAGTTTTAAACCCTCTTTTTTCACACAGTTTTAATTTTCTATACCACAGAGCTCAGTTTTGTTTTTCTAAAAAACCTAGGGTAAACTTGCAATTTATGTCAATAAACATTGACTGCAAAAATGTATGTTGTCAGTTATACCTAACTATTTATACGAACAAAACTATACATATACGAGGGCTGTTTTTTAAATAAGGTCCATTTTTTAATAAGAAAAATACTCTAAATATCATTAAAATATATTTTTTCCCATATTCTACATACTTTTATCTACTTTTCTACATAATTTCCATTTTTACTCAAACATTTGTCATACCTCTCAAAATTTTTTTAAATTCTGACTTCAAAGAAATCTGCCACCTGCCGCCAGAAGACATTAGGCCACGCCACTTGACTTGTAGGCATGGCAGAGTTTTCTCAAGGTCACAATAAGCATCAGAATTGATTGTTGTGCCTCTTGGCATAAAATCCACTAACAAAGACCATTTCCTGTCCCAAAAGACAGTTACCATGATCTTTCATGATGAAATCAAATAACAGATCGTATCTTACAGTCAGATCTTACAGTCGGTGGGCGACTCAATTTTCTTAAACATTATAAACTTCTACAGTTCGGCACATAGACAGACGATACGGTTACAAATGGCATCTAAACACGTGCAAAGCATGCTGAAAGCAGATGCTCATGCACACTGCTGCAATCGCACGTCATTCTCACTCTCATTCATAAATGTACCTTTATTTAAAAAATAGCCCCCCCCCGTATTTTTAACAATCTAAAAAATTCAAAATAACTATATTTGAACTGAATACCGTCTGAATGTTTATTGCTTAGTTTTGAGAGAAATTGAACATTTTGTTTGTTTTCAATTTTTTCTTTTACTCCGAAACAGATGGATATTTGTGAATTTTCAAGAATTATTCAACAAAAATACTATAATTAAGTATATAGATCTGCATTATTTATGTCAGAGGTGCCCACCAGTGGCCAAGCAGTTTTCATTCCCAGAACACTGGGAGTTTGGTCGTGGGTTTGCGCCTCGCTCAGACGGGCTGGCCATGTGCAGTTTTCCAAGTTTTCTCCATGTCTGTAACTCGTAAATAGGGGCCTGTTTCCCCTAAAAAGACCAGAAGGCATCCTCCTAGGCAGATTGCCCAAGTGTTGCATTGCCATAACTAAACAAACAACATGTCCGAGGTATATAAATATATATACATACTCAAAATTCAGTGTTTGAAGCAGGCAGCTGGGAATAAAAATTAAAAATTCACCAAAATTATTATTATAATCTTTGATTTCACCAGATAAATTCATGTATGCGCAATGTAAATACAGTAAGACCATGCTTAACGCTGCCTCGATTAATGCTGATTCAATATAAATATAATGTGGTCTGCTCAAAGCCTAAAAAAACGCTCAAAATTTATGCTGATTCACATTAACGCGGCATTTCATTGATTCATATACGATTATTCTCAAACACAAACCAATCGACAAAAGGTGGCAATCCGTCATAGCACCATACTTTCCTTAAATTTGTTTGTTTTGTGCAATTTTGAAAAAAATATATCATCATGGATGCCATAGGAAATATCAACTTCACTTGGCAAGTATTAACTGATAAAACCATGAACAAAGTGTGGATGACGTTATGGCTGAAGGTATCCAAGAATTCTCAATGAGAAGAGCCCATCGCTGTATCGTTAGGTTGACTAAATTGCCAACCTAATCTATACAGCAGGACTAGGAGATGTAGACGAGCAGGATATTGAAGAGTTACTGCAGATTTCTGGTGAGAGCCTTACCAACGACAACCTTCAAGAACTGGCAGAATAAGGAATTCGTGTAGAACTGGAAAATTGTGACTCTGAAAACAAAGAACCCCAAAGAATTTCTCTACAGATTTCCTTAGTAAAAGTTTGGTAACGATAACCAAAATTGTTGATTAAATTGTAGCTCCCTTTGATTGAACAATCCCTTGCTACAGACATTTGCTTAAGAAAAGAAAAACAAAGTCACAAATTATTACACCATTTTATCACAAAAAACTAATTTCAGAAGAGCCAGAACCTTCGTCACAAAACTGAACTTTAAATTTCTGCCTGCATATGTTTATGTGTTAATTATGTTTATGTGTGTTTAATATATATTATTATGCAAATTAATATAAAAATAACTTAATTATAGTAAAATTTGTTTATTTGTGGTTGAGTGTTCTTCTTTCCCTATTTACTCCATGCTAAAATGACCTCGTTTAATGCTGTTTTGCTTAGCGCTTTGTCATCTAGGAACATCCCCTGCATTAAATGGGGTCTTACTGTAATGCCTCTGACATAAATAATGCAGTTCTATATACATAATTATAGTATATATACGTAGGCTGATTTTTTTTCAAACTCCGATGGTCCATAAAGAAAAGACAAGTGTAAACAACAAAATGAATTTATTATCAAAAGTTAGGTACAAACATGGTTACTTTTTGACATAATCACTGTGAAGATTAAGGCATTTGTCATATCTGTGGACATGCTTTTCCATCCCCTTGTCATAGAATGTTGCTGCCAATGACCTGAGATGGGCCCTAACATTTTTTTGAAGATTGTCATTAGTCTTGAACCTCTGCCTTCCTAGCCACTTTTCCTTTTCAGGAAAGATGTGGAAGTCGCTCAGCACTAAATTGGGGCTATACACTGGGTGTTTAATTAAAGGTAGTGAAGACTTCCACCCAGCTTAAAACTTTTTAATGTGTGAAGACTTCCATCTCTTTCCTGAACTGAAAATGTGACTAGGAGGGCAGAGGTTTGAGACTAATGAACTAATGGCAATATTCAAAACAATGTTGTTAAGGCCATCTCAATTCACTGGCAGCAACATTCTATGACAAAGGGATGGAAAAGCTCATCCATAGAGAAGGCAATTTTTCAATCTTCACGGTGATTATTTTGAAAAGTAACCACTATTTGTACCTAACTTTTGGTAATAAATTAATTTTGTTATTTACACTTGTCCTTGTTTTATGGTCCATTGGTGCTTGAAAAAAAAACTGCCCTCGTATAAATAGTTCTGTATAATTGCAATGTTCTTTATTTGCTGTCAATGTTGACAGATGTAAACTTTATGATTTACCAATTTGTGAATTATTTACATTAAGTGGAAAAAAAATTAACTTGAGAGCCTCGAGTAATTGTGGGGTCTTTGTTGAATTTGAAATGCGCGTATTAGGTTCGAGTATGTAGTGAAAAATACAATTTTTTAAAATTAATTTAAAATTTGTTAGTACACCAATTAGACATATATTAATGTTAAATTGTAACTGACGAGAATTAAAATTCATAATTTTAATATTGTCAGCGCTTAATATTGGAGAATAACATACTACTTACCGCCTCTGTCGGTGATGAACGATATATCAAGTGTCTACTATGCCAGTTGAGAAAACAAAATAGCTCATACAATAATCGAAACTCTAGCGAATTAGCATGTACCGTAGTCCGTAGCTGGTTTGCTTCAGCCCTCTGGCGGGAAAGTTAGGCGTTAGCTAACTTGGCTATTTCGCTCCATCTGTTTCTCCAACCAACTCCACTCACAGACCGGGAAAAAGAGATGTGTATTTTCTCTTTTTCCCGGTCTGTGAGTGGAGTTGGTTGGAGAAACAGATGGCGATGTGAAATTGAAGTACAGTAGAACCTCTATTATCCGGATTTTCGATTATCCGGATTGTTCAAAATAACAAAAATTTTATGAATTTGCTGATTTTCACTTGGTGAATTACGATACTGTTTATATACGTAATGGAATGTATAACGTTTTTTGTTTCAACAACGTCTCACCCGGCACAGTGGCCGTAAACTCTTAAATATATTTTGCGTCGTAATAAAAATATAACTTGACATACGTATTTATAAATAATTTTATTTTCAAATTATATTTCTATGACCAAGGGCAGCGTAAGACATGGGCCACCGCCTACGCCTCGCGGTCCGAAGGGCCTCGTGTTTCGAACGTTTATGCATTACTTAAAAGCCACGAACACGACGAAAAAATTTTACTCGTCATAAAACGATAAATAGTTTGTCAAATTTTTATTCATAACTAGCTTACCCGTCGCGCATTGCTGCGATCTCAGAAGAAACGAAGTTCAAGCAAACTCGTTATGATCTAATTCAATTTATATTTTATCATTTTTATTGAAACTTATTATTATTATTCATTTTCATCGGGAAAACATTTCAAAGTGTCGTTTCAATTCTATTTATTTATTGGAGTGTTTGTGGATACACGATATTTTTTGTTTTTCCGTCTGGTACGTACACGAATAAATCAGGTTTTTCGACGCGTGAGCCGACCACATCCATGCGAGAAGCACGGATTCTCCAAATTTAGCCCATACACTTGCAGCGATTGTCAGAAGTGCGATATTCCCCATTTATATATACAGTATATATATATTTTTAATCCTTTATCATTTTAATTATTTAATTGCTCCTTCCTCTCTTCCTTGGCACGTTGTGAAATTTCCGATAGTTGGATAATAAACCGTTTTATTGTAATTTGTCTTTTTAAATTATTTTGAGTCGATATCAAAATTTGGAAAAGGGGGATACCTAGATCGGTAAAATACGCGAATTTCTTCCTACAACTTCGGTTGTTGTTCGGGGTACAGAGTTAAGGTTTTAATTGGCATAATGAACAAGGGTAAAATAGTAGTGATTTTATTATTAAAATTTATACGTAAATGTAATAAAAAAAAAACAAATTATTTTTAGGATTTAGAAATAAAATCGATAATCTACTGAATTTTCAGGGAACTAGCTACCGATTTTTCGAAATTAATTCTGGCAACGGTAATGTCGGATCGTATTAACTTGACTTCCGGTTTGACGTAATTTATTTATTAATTTTTAAACCGAATAAGATTTATTTCGTTTCTTAATTAATACTTTCCATGTTTATATGTTAAAAGAAAATTTTAATTTTAATTAGATTTCGGTATTTTATATTCATTATTTTTAAGTTATAAAGTAAGTAACGTCTTTTTGTATTCTTCAAAAATAATTTTACATATTAAATTAAAACGTAAATGATTTAATGTTTATTTTGTAAGAACGAGATTTAGTGTTAATTATAAATAAATTGTTATAGATTAAATTTACGGAAATTTGTATACACAATATGGAATGTTAATGTAATGGAGTGGAAATTTATAGACATGGGCACTTTTAATGACATCTGATGTAATGAATTTCATGTGTATGTTATGGACTAAGTATTAATTAATATGGGCATTATTCATAATGACTGGACATTATGAATAATGACAAACAAAATCAAGCACTGTAATTTCAGGTTTTTTTTATCATAATTTATCAGATTGACTGGTCACTACGAATACTACTTCAGAGTGATGATAATACCTTGAGGAGTGATTGTTTGACATAAACGAGCCGATCGGCACTTGTGTCTGAATTGCATGTGCATATTGCGTTTAGTGTCGAATTTTAAATTCCAGTGACCGGTAGTTAATCTTGTGTGATATTTTAATTTTACTTTTGCCTCTTAAAATAGTGATTTCTTCTTTGAATGAAGTAACAATCGTGGAGCAATCATTAAGTGATGTGAATGACCGTTTCGACAACTGATTAAATGAGTTAATAGCAGCGAAAGGTCAAAACAGTAAAATTTTTACAAAATCAGCATATTTGACAATGACACAAAAAGTGGAAGAGAGAAAAATGAAAGTGACTTCGAAGTTACTGGAAGAATATTGGGGTTTACGTAGATATGATTAGTGTTACCACCCGTCCGGTTTTCACCTGGACAGTCTGGGAATCGACTCACTGTCCGGGTGAACTACTAATTTTGTCCGGGAATATCGTGCGCAACCTGTCGATTTTTTTTTTTTTGGTATGATTCGTATTCATAAACGTCTCCAATGTCCAATAGAGCTAAGTCATCTGTAGTTGTTTTTCTTAATTTAGTTACTTATGCTACTCCTACCCAAGTCTCCCTAGTCCCTAACTGTAACTGATTTAGAACAGGCATGCACTGCACGTTATTCTTCACATTGCAAAATGATATTGTGCATGCGTCAGGAACTTCTGTTCGAACAAACTTCACCTGCCGTCCAGGTCAGTGATTTTGAAAAGGTGGCAAAACTAGATATGATGTTGTATCTATTAGAGAAATAGAAAATTAATTGTGCCTGTAAAAGAAGGTAATTTTATTAAATATTTAGCTCACACTGAAGAAATGTTTCAGATATTGCACGATGACCATATTGCTATTGTCCGTGGTGGCAGAAACTGTATAGAAAAAGAATTAAGTACGAAATATTATATAAAAATATTACAAGGGATACGAGATATCATAATTTACTTGAACTTGTGTGAAATTTGTCAGAAAAAACAATATTTCTAAAAAAGGTATGTAGGCCTAGTTAAATCAATTTTAAGTAATGAAATGAGTTTTGAGATGTCAGCTTGACTTTACAAATATGCAGTCACAAGCTGATGAGCAATATAAATTTATACTAGTATATCAAGACTGCCTGACTAAATACATTTAATTACAGCCATTAAAAGCGATAAGGGAATCAACTAACAGACACATAAATGCAAATTTCAGCACATAATAAACAAGGAAATTTTAATGTTCAAATGTTTCTGGCTGTCTTTGAGGCCCTCATCAGGATTGAATGCACAAAAAAACACAAAAACAGTTCTATCCTTTGAAAATTTCTAACTTTTGTGTGCCATTTTTTATTTAAACCATAAAGGCTGAAGATGTAGCCTATGTTCCTTTAGACATTTTTACAATTTTTGATGTGCTGAGTATGCTACAAAGCGATAATGACATAGAATTCATCAATATCATCTAAGAACTGTATAGTGTGTGGCCTGAGTTAAAACTGGTGCATGGTAAGCCCAAGCTCTCACAAAGTCAGGGAGGGTTCAGTAGAAAATATGGTTAGTTTTTGGTTGGAGACTAACAACACTAAGGGTGCGACTATGCAGACGCGAGCGAGTGAATTTTCCAAGCGAGCGAGAATATGTGGCGAGAAGAGGCGAGACGCGATAAATATCAAAACCTGTCAGATATGTGCGAGAACCAGAAATTCGCTCTCTCTAGCGTTATTTCTCGCTTCTCGTTTGTGCATGGTTTTCCTTTGCGAAAACTAAATCGCTCGCAACCTCTCGCTCGCTCTAAATTTGCGTCTGCATAGTCGCACCCTAACAAATGGTCAGAAGGATTAAGTTTTGTACAACTGATGAAAAATCGAGCGCATCATACTGATATAAACTGCAGCTCCAATGAGGTCATGTTTGGAGCAAAGTTAAAAGTTGGATTAAAGAATTTTATACCTGACGAATCATTGACCAACATTAATACAGAGGAAGTTTTAGAGACTTTTTTAAAACTAACAATAATGAATTTTTTATATAATAAAAACGACATTCCAGAAGTTTCCTTTTAAGTTGATTTTTTGATTGAAGTATAAATTTGTTAACAATACTTTTCATTAACATTAGTTTAATACAGCTAATAATACTTACTTCTAAAAGATCTCATGTTGTTTTTAAAAGACTGAAATAATTCAGAAAAAGTAAATAATTTGTAATGAAAAAAGTGGAGATTTTAAAAAAAATCAAATTGCCCAAAGGAAATGAAGCTGTATTCATAATGTTTAGTCAATTTAATAAATTAGTCAATATTTATCAGACTGTGTGGCCATTTTAATCATTATTCATAATGGCTGGGCATTATAAATAAATGCCCTATTAATCACTTGGTTTGTAACATATATATTAAATTATATACATAATAATTTTTTTATTAAATGCAGACAAAATGTGATAGTTTAAAAATTTTATGATAATAGATGGTGTTACTGGTTGTAAGAGGCTAATACAAAAAACTATTATTAATTTTAAATGTCTTATATTCTCTTTTTAATATTTTGACAAATTTTAATATAAAATCAACTTGAAGTTGATATCAAAGGATTGCGAAATTAACTTAATAGCATAGATTTTTAAACTAGTTTCATTGAGCTAAGATAGGCAGGCAAGTTTTCAAAAAGTAAAAACTTTTAGTACATCAACTTTGTCATAAAGAAAGCTAATTGATGTATTTAACTGACTATACCTTTATTTGATTTGAATATATTTTTCATTTGAGTGAATTTTTTCAGATTTGTTACTTTGATTTACATTTTAAATTTATATGGATATAATTAAAATTTATTTTTATGGCCAGGTGGTAAATAATGCTTTAATTGCCTAGCCATAAAAATTTATTTTTATGGCCAGGCAATTAAAGCATTATTCTACTGCTCTGGCAACTTGTGATTAAATCCAAGCAAGGAATCCTTGAAATTTTTCTTGAGTGGTCTCTCCTGGATGTTAGGATTCATCCCTTACAATTTGTTGATTTTTTTTTTTTGATGGATATTGTAAAAGACACTTAAGCTTAGTTGACATTGGACGTGAT